CTCCCGTGGGGCTGGGGTCCCTGGGAGGAGGACAGGGGCCCCTGGGGCTGGGACGGGGCTCCCTGTGGGCAGCAGAGCCGGGGACACCAAACACCAAGCTCTGTCTCTCTTCCCAGTTCCCCCCAGCGTGGAAGTGCGCACTGAGCCGAGCTCCGTTGAGGTGAACAGCACCGTGGTCTTCACCTGCCTCGTGAAGGAGTTTTACCCAGCAAAGGTGTCCGTTTCCTGGCTGGAGAATGGGATGGAGATAAAGGCAGAGAACGTCTCCCGGCCATCTGAGCTCCCCCAGGGCTTGTTTGAGCTGAGAAGCCAGGTGGAGGTGCAAGCCATGGAGGAGAAAAACGGGTCCACGATCACCTGCATGGTGGTGCACGATGCCCAGGCCCCTGCCAACTACTCAGCCGTCCTGTGGATCTCCAACACGGCCCAGGGACTGAGCAAGGAGTCTCAGATGATTAAGGGTGCGTCAGAGCTGCTGGGATGGGGTGCCTGCTAGGGCAGCTGTGTGGTGTCACCCCCTGAGGGAGCTTGCAGTGCCAGAAAAGGCTCCCTGCAGGGGGTTGGGATGCCTCTCCCCAAGCCCTGGTCACTCACATCCTCTGTCCCCGTTCCAGGTGTAAATTTTGTGTCCAGCCTCCTCCTCCTCTGGCTTGGTATCCTGCTGGAGAAGGGGCTCCTTGGTGGGCTCCTCTTCTTCCTCTTCAAGCGCATGAAGAGATAAGCACTGGAGATGTTGCCCTATCCTGCTCCACCTCAGTCCCTGGCTCCTTGAGCCAGGTCTCAGGGCTTGGCCACTGCCAGTGGTGACATATGAACCTGGAAATAAACGAGCCACGATGCACAGGCTGCTGTGGGCTGCTCCGCGCTGCCAGTCCTGCCTGTGGCCTCACACCCGGAGGATTGGCACTGCCCATGCCTGGGACTGTGCTGCACACCAGGGCTCGGTGCTGCCCGTTCCAGGGCTCAGTACCCAGTGCTACAGAGTGCTCGGTGCGCGGTACCCTGTGCTCGGTGCTCACTGCCTGGTGCTCGCTGCCCAGTACTTGGTGCTGCCCATCCCGGTGCCCAATACCTGGTGCCCGGTGCCCCATGCTCGGTACTCGGTGCCTGGTTCCCGGTGCCTGGGGCTCAATACCTGGTGCCCAATACCTGGTGCTTGGTGGCCGATACCCAGTACCCGATACCCGGTATCCGGTACCTGATACCCTGTGCCCGGTGCCCGGTACCCGGTGCTCGGTGCCCAATACCCAGTACCCGATACCCGGTGCTCGGTGCCCAATACCCGATACCCGGTGCCCCGATACCCGATGCCCGGTGCCCGATACCCGGTGCCCGGTGCCCGGTGTCCGATACCCGGTGCCCGATACCCGATGCCCGGTGCCCGGTGCCCGGTGCCCGATACCCGATACCCGGTGCCCGATACCCGATACCCGATACCCGGTGCCCGATACCCGATGCCCGG